CCAAGGACATGGCCGTGCTCCCTTTTGCAAGCCTGCCTGAACCATTTCATCTCCTTCTACATTGTGCATCTAATGCTCGATGAAACCAGCACAGATGGGAATAACACGACAACATGCCACAGACTACACTCTCATGAACCCATCTCTCACGTCACAAGGCAAGATGAGGGGCAGACACCACCATCCCCTCGCCAAGACCCTCCGATCCCAAATACCACGTCCATCTCTTACATAATTCGGCCGCTTACCACCGCATCCCACCGGCCATGCCCTCCATCGCCATCCTCCTCCCTTGTCCAATTGGTCTGCTCCCGCGATCATCGGTGGGGGATGATCAGATAAGATTATCCCATGCCACAACGTTGCATCAACCTTAAAAGCCTTCAACGCTCGCCCCCGGGTACCATCCGAACTCGGGGTGGGACGAGGACGCCCCGCCAATGAAGACGTGCTGCGGGGACGGCGCCCGGCGGTCGAGAAGCCCGGCATTGGCCCGTTTAAGCTATCGGACGCTATCGCGCTGGTTTATGTACATCCCGCGCGGAAATTCCATGTAAGTCATGCTGCGCCCGCCCCCTCGACCGCAAGATCGGTGTTATTCTTCAGCGCCTCTTTCCGTACCCCTTGCATCTTTTAGATCAAAGACATCATGGACGGCACGAAACTTCCCGAGCTACCGGACCTCCAGCTCCAACCGGGCGTCACCAAAGAATCCGTCGATGCCGCGCAAATAACGACGTCCTGGCTGACAACCCTCTCGCAGCGCTTCGCCGAGAAGGACTTTACTCTGTCCGACCTGTTCATCGAGAACTGCTGGTGGAGAGACATCGTCGCGCTGTCATGGGACTTTTCATGCAAACAAGGCCAGGCGGCCATCGCGGCGTACCTTTCTTCCGCAGAACACGGCCTCTCGGAGCTTGAGCCGAACAAGTTCGGGGGCCTGCAGCCTTTGCTCGTTGACTTTGGCGGGCAGATCTGGATCCAGTCTGGGTTCACGTTCCGGACGCCTCATGGAGAAGGGAAGGGGTTGCTGAAGCTGATGAATGTGGGTGTGGGCGAGTGGAAGGCCTGGACCGTGTTCACGCAGCTCGAGAGGCTGGATTATCAGAGGGAGTTGGAAAAGCAGAGAGCTGCGTGCGTACCGCCTGCGTTGGCCACCAATGGGACGAATGGGACGGACGGAGAGGAATTGCAGGTGTTGATTGTCGGTGCAGGTGAGTGATCATGAGTCCTCTTTATGTCGGCGACTGACAGCGTGGTAGCGCAAGCTGGACTGATGCTCGGCGCGCGACTGCAGCACATGGGCATCAAGACCCGTCTCCTGGAGAGGAGCTCTCGCCTCGGAGACTCCTGGCGGAAGAGGTATCAGAGCGTCACGCTCCACACGCCGACTTACACGGATCACTGGGCATACATGAAGATCCCCGAGACGTGGCCCAGGTTCCTTACCGGAGACAAGGTGGCAGAGTTCATGGAGCACTACGGCCAGCTGATGGGTCTCGACATCCAGTACGACTCCGACGTGACAAAGGTCACCTACGATGAAGTTGCCAAAAAGTACACTGTCCAAGTCACGACACCAGAGGGAACGCGCACGCTCTCCGCGAAGCACGTCGTCCTAGCCACCGGCCTCTTTGGAGATGAACCGATCGTGCCCGAGTTCAAGGGCCAAGAGTCTTTCAAGGGGCAGATCTACCACTCCAAACACCACAGGTCCGCCGCCGACATCCCGGATGTGGGCAACAAAAAGGTCGTGGTGATCGGCTCCGCCACTAGCGGGCACGACATTTCCGCAGACTTTGTCGCACATGGTGCCAAGGAGGTGACAATGATGCAGCGCCGGGCCATCTACTCCATCTCTCGCGAGTCCTGGGAGAACTTCATGCTTGCGCTGTGGGAAATCCCTGGCCTCAGCACGGAGGAAGCCGACATCGTCGGCAACGCGATCCCGTTGGCCGTCATCCGGAAGATGAGCATCGAGCTGACCAAGATGATGGCGGCGCATGACAAGGTCGTCCACGACGGCTTGAAGAAGGCCGGTCTGGCGCTGAAGGAGGGCGACGACGGGTACGGTCTGGCGGACTACCAGCTCATCAAGGGGGGCCAGTATTACATTGACCAGGGCGCAAACCAGATGATCATCGACGGCCGGATCAAGATCCAGAGATGCGAGGAGGGGGTGCGGGAGTTTGTGGAGGATGGCCTGGTCCTCGCTGACGGGACGAAGCTTGAGGCAGATATTGTGGTGCTTGCCACCGGGTTCCAAAAGGAGACGACGACCATCGAGAAGCTGATGGGCCCGGAGGTGTCGAAGAGGCTGCGCAAGTTTGGGCAGTTGGACGAGGAGCAGGAGCGATCTGGGGTAAGTCAAGGATCTGACGACGATATGGGTTAATGCTGACTGGGTGTAGTGGTGGCGATCAACAGGCGTGCCTGGATTCTGGTACATGACGGGCAGCTTCATGTACTGTCGCCAGTTCTCGCTGCCGTTGGCGCTGCAGATTGCGGCAGTTGAGAAAGGGCTGAACAAGTCTTATTACAAGGAAGCGTGAGACTTGTATATCCAGGATGAGGCATAGCATTGGGGTGGACATCTGCTTGTGGATTTAGTCTGGGAAAAAGATACTCAATATGGCGCTCAACGTGGCTGGATGGCGGGATAGCATTCGATGGGCCGGTGCATCAACTGTCACCAAAGGAACGAAGGAGTTATTATTTTCAAAAACATGAACACTTCATGATGATGAGTCTGAATCGAGTGACTTCAAGTCGCTGGTCAAGCAACATGGTGATGCTTTCCCAAAGTCTACGACCGGCTCACCTCGGGTTTCGCGACCTGGTGGTCCGACGAGGCTGTTACGACTTGGGAAACCACTGCGACGAGGGTAATGTGAATGTTATCGCTTGGAATCGCTCCCATGATGGACCTCAACGGCATCTAGTTGTGACTATCTTAATAAGACAACCGCAACTCGAGCATGCTTCATGACTTACACTGATAGATGCCGTAGACATGCCCTCCGGTGGTTGCATGTTGAAGCCACAACGAGGCATCAGATGACCACGAAGTCTGGAGCTCTGGAACAAAAGACGCGATCGGAATGCCAAATCAGAGCTGTCTCACACCCTGGAACGAAAGGTCTTTCTTCTTCGCCGCCATCAAGGTGAGGCAGCTCGACTTCGGTGAGCTCGGTCAATCCCACTATCAGCACGTGACCCACTTACCGCCTAGGCCCGATAAGGATAACGTTCGGAGAAGTGTCCTCTCCCCCAAAGAGGTCCTGCGCAAAGCGACCGACTAACTAACCACCCAGGCGTCCGCTCGCTCGTCTCGCAACAATCAACCTCTCTCTTTCTTGTCTTCACCACCACCACCACCACAGCAAACGAACCCTCACGCCGTCACGAACACGGTCGCCTTCAACCCCCCCCCCCAAAAGATACCCGAAGACGAAAGACACCTCACTACCTTAATACACACACCACCAAAACCGCCCAACATGTCGGAACTCACACACTTCGACCTCCTCCCCCTCCAAATAGACCCCCAGTCCAAAGCAATCTCCTCCACCTCCTCCTCGCGCACCCTCCAAGCCGAGCTCGCCCAGCTCAACGCCCTCCACCGCTCCCTCGTCACCTCCGACACCACCACCCAGCACGGCGTCCCGCCCCCGCCGATGCCCGTCAACCCCAAACGCTCCGCCAACGTCTCCAAGCTGCGCGACTCCGGCAACGCCGAGTTCCACAAGAAGAAGTACGCCGAGGCCGTCAAGTTCTACACCCTCGGCCTGCAGATGGCCCTCACCCGCCCGCTGTGGGAGCCCTCGCAGCTCGTCCGCGAGGAGGTCGCCAGCCTGTACGCCAACCGCGCGCAGGCGCACATGGCGCTGCAGCAGTGGGCCGAGGGCTCCGTCGACGCCGAGGCGAGCGTCGAGGCGAGGAAGGTCGGCAACGCAAAGGCCTGGTGGCGCAGGGGCAGGTGTCTGATGGAGATGGGCCGCCTCGAGGAGGCGAGGGAGTGGGTTGGCAAGGCGCTCGAGTACGAGGGCGAGGAGGGCGAGCTGGTTGCGCAGTTGAAGGAGATTGAGGCCAAGATTGAGAAGAAGGAGAGTGCTTGAGGGAGAGGCGCTGGAGGGAGAGGCGCTGGAGGGAGAGGCGCTGGAGCAGGAACTTCTTTATGATTGATCAGGCACCTAGACGTCGCGAGGGCTTCAAATGTGCGACACGAGCATGCTAGCGGAGGAGAGTCAGGCCGAGGGCAGAGAGCTTGGGAGTTGGGCGCATCCTGATAGATCGGTGCCGAGGGGCTGTCGCATGCGCACCGAGGCTTGCTGGAGCTGAGCACTTCCGTGGACACATACATCATATGGTGGTCACATGGCCGTCGTGAGCATCCGACCAACGTGGGAGATATGGTCGTTTAGCATTTCTAGTAGTATACCACATGTACCAATACCATGACTATGAACCCCAAGTCTGCGGAGGAAGGGGAAGAAAAAAAACCCCGTGCCGTGATTCAAGTCGTACCTTGTGGTAGCCATGTCTCGCAGCGAGAAATGAAGAAGAAAAAGGTATGTAACGTGGACAGGGGGAGCATCGTAGTAAACCATTTAAACACTATGCGTGGGATGTCATCATGGCGTTTCGCTCCGACATCCTCTGGATATCCCAACAGACCAAATCAAAACATGCGTGAGGGGGTGCTTATGTTCGCAGCCGCTATTCCCATTATCCTCCCTTGCTACCGTTCGCAGGTCCGTAGGTTGATATTCGGCTCGACAGCTTCGCAAGGCCGGTTCATTCATCTGCCGGTTTGGCCTGCCTCGGTTCCTCCCCAACCAGGGCCGGAAACATAATCATTCATCCTTTTGATCCTGTCGGCCGCTGTTCATCGGCCCTGGTCCCTCGTCGACATTCCGAGTTGGTGTTGAGCGTGAACTCTAGCGGCCGTTTCTTTTAATTTGCCATGATTGACTGAGTGACGAATGGCGCAGCGTCGCTTATGCAGCAGTGGTCTTCTCGGTCAAGGTCTTGCCGCGAGGGCGCATGACGGCGTCCTGGCTGCTCATTCTCCGGTCCAGCGCACGCTCCAACTTGGCGCCGAGGGCCAGCTTGCTCATGTTGGCCGTCTTCTCCTCGCTCAGGGTGACTCTTTGGGAGCTGAGAGCCTTGTTCTCCATGCGGTCGAGGCCGGTCGCGATGTCGGCGATCTCAGCGTGAGCCGAGTCGGTGGTCTGGACGGTGTTCGCAAAGGAGGGCGCCATGCTGTAGGTACTGTATCGCACAGAGGCTCGCACCTGTGGAACGGGAGTCTCGGTCAGAACGGCGGTCATTTTGGGCGGTATTGGGTAGGATAGAGAAGAGGGGGATGGAAGGAAGGGGGGATCGAACGGGAAGAGTAAGGATTAAGATAGTAGCAGCGCAGCGGCAGCAGGAACGGAGGAGGTCCACGTGTGGGATGAGCTGTCGGGAGGTGCGGCGTCAAAGAGCCAAAAAGGCAAAAAAAGGGATCGAGGACGAGGCGCAGCAGGGAGCAGAAGGGATGTACGGACTTGCAGCCAGCAAAGCAGCCAACGGGAGGGACGTCAAGGAGGAGGACAAGGCAGGTGAGGGCTAGAGCGCGAAAGGCAACATCAGGAGACAGAAGAACGTACTGAGGGTGCCATGATGGGACGAGAGGAATCGAGTGAGGTGGGCATTGTAATTTTTGACTTTAGCGGGATCCCTGCTTGAAAAGGTTCGTCAAAGTGGCCGTCCGGACCAGTTCGTTGACGAGAGAATGGTTCGAGTTTCCACAGCCCGGGGCTTGCTTCACGACTGTCGGACCAAGGCAGACAGGTGCAGGGCGCAATTGGGATGACGGAAGAGAGCGAGCGGGCTCTGCGGGTTGGGTTGGGTTGAGTTGGTTTGCAGCGGCGAGCGGCGTGAGCGTAGGTAGGTAGACCGTGAGGTAGGCGGCAGCGGCAGCGGCAACGGGAGTCAACGACAGGTGTCGGTAGGGGCTCCGGGGGTGGGCGAGAAGAGGAGAAATTCGATCGCTTCGGGGGGTGTGGCCGGTATTGCGTATTCTGGAGTGTATCCGTACACTACAGTTGATGGTAAGGTATGGAGGCGAGAGGAGACCAGCGACGGGGACTGGAGAAGGGTTTTGAGGTTGTTGAGTGGTTGAGAGCAGTGCCGGGTGGATTGTTGGCGAAGAGTGTGTCGGTCAGAGTGGAATCGAAATGGGAGGTGAGAGAGGGCAGCGCAGGCGAGATTGAAGTTCGGGGGGGACGATCGATGGGTCCGGACTGGGGACTGGGTCGTATCGGGTGCAAAACGGTCGTGGGCACGATGATGCGGTGGGCAGCAAGGCAGCGTGATGTCCGGGAAAAGGAGAAGAGAGAAATTGAGGAGAGGGAGATGGAGATGAAAAAAGTCGAGACTCTGGTCAGAATGAACGACTCGGGGAGCAGCAAGTGCAATGCAGGGCAGAGCACAGAGCAAGGCAAGGTAAGGTAGGTACGGAGACGTAAGGTAAGGCAAGCAGCAAGCAGGAGCAAGTGCAAGTGTAAGGCAGGCGGTACCTTGCCTTAGTCAAGCGAGACAAGGTGAGGGAACAATTGCAAGAGCAAGAGCAAGAGCGGCAGCAGCAGCAGCGGCAGGAAGGAGCATGGGACACGACACGGGAAGGAAGGCAGACAGGCAGGCAGGGAGCAAATAATAATTAATTCAAGCAAGCAGCCCAGGCAAGCAGCGCGTCAGGGACAGCATTCACCACCACCAATGCACCAGTGACAGTCATACCTTACCTCACCTCACCTCACCCTTTCCCCGTCTGCAGACAGTGCAGAGGCTAAGGCTACGCTGAAGAGAGACTAGCAGAGATGAGAACCGGTGGCCATCGGGGTTGATTTGTTAATCACCTCGGTCAGGTACCTACTGCGTAAGGTAGGTACTTGAGGTAAAGTAGGTACTCAGCCCGGTCGGCTCGGGTACCTCTCACTTGCACTAAGCAAAAGTCAGGCAGGAACGGAGGGCGGGAGGTGACGAAGGAGGGCAGCCACGTTCGATCAAGGCAGCCTCCTTCCGCCCACGGAACCGTACCTGCTTGCAAGATAGTGGTTGGGTCAGTCAGTGACCTATGGCCAGTGACGATCAGGTGCAGAAGGTGCAGAGGGTGTAGACTGCCTGCAGTGAACGAGCCCGGCTGCAATGGCAGGCACGCAGCAAGGAAGGGAGTGAGTGCCTGTCTGGGAAAGGCGGCCCAAATCTCAAACGAGATCAGGAGAAGGTGCGCCTGAGTGGGCGACTTCCTCCCCTGTGTGGGCCCTTCTCCGGGAGGTTGCAATGTGGAAAGAGCGACTTGCAGGAGCAGTATCAGCAGCACAGCAGTCACTGTCACCTAACCGTGCCTAATAACCGCTGCACACAGACGATTGTCACAGACAGATGTTCGGGTACTTCGCAGAGACGGGCTGTCCCCTAAGCAGAAAACGGCACGCAGACAGCAGCCATGTGCAGGTCAGGGATCTGGAGAGATCCCGGGACAGGGGCCAGACCAGCGCCCACTGGGCAGACTCTTCCAGATGTACTATGCAGTAGGTAGTACGGAGGCATGTACACATCTTCAGGGCCGATCCATGCCCGCCGTTTTCTTGCACCAGTTTTTTTTTTTTTTTTCTCTCCTGCGCATCCACTGAGAAAAGACAAGACTCAGTGACAGGCGGCGCGAGATCCAAGGTAGAGATCTAGAGCTCCGTGTCTCTGTGTCTAATGTCTAGTGCAGCGCCATTCCCAGCCGCCCTACCAACAGAACAGACCAGTTCTTGCGTCTTAAGATGGACGACTGGACTGCAACCAGCCTTTTCTTTTCCCCAGGGGTATTGAGCTGAGTTGAGCTGGTAAGGGGAGAGCTCTGCTCTGCTGCTTACTAGGTAAACCAGTCATCTAAGCCACATGAGTCTTCGTAGGTAGATGCCAGAAATAGGACCGCTGACGGCCTCATCCACCGTCAAATCTGCCTTCCCGTTCGGACATTTCCTGTGGTACGCGTACCTACCTGCGGAGGGGCCGGGTACGTACTCCCCGTCCGTCCCTTCCTGCTGTCCACGGCTATCTGTAAGGCGAGGCAGGCAAGCAATCAATCCGTGGCAGGAACAGCCTGGTGTTCAACAGTGCAGTGTCAGCGGTGCCTTCCTTCCCCTTGATACAGACTCACCAACCTTAAAAAAAAAAGAAGGAACAAGGGAAGAAAGGTCATCGCGTGTCGCTGTTGCCATTCCTGATGAAGGGAGTTGCTTCTTTCCTCCCTCTCGCCTTCCATTCATGGATGTCGGGTGTGGTCTGGCATATCAGCTTCCTTATGCCGGCGGGCCTGGCTGCCCTGCCCTGCCCTGCCTTCCTGGGTTTCGTTCCCGACACCCAGTCCTGTGGATGCCATGTTTCCCTCTGCCTTTCCCATTCCCATCTACTCCCAACCATCATCCATCACCCTCACCCTGGCACACCACCACCAGTCCACCACGTCGTCCACCCACCAATCTGTTTCTCCCAATCTTTGTTTTTTCCGCCCTGCTCCCCCGTCCCATGTCGCATATCCCCCGATGCTAAGTCTGGATGCCCCGAAGCCCATGCCCCGGCCGCAGTGTTTGCACCTTGCAGTTTGCACCGCGTCTGGACCCCCGGCGCCCATTGTCGCCTCCCGTTGTTGGCCGCATGCGTCCGACCTGCAGCTCACCAGCTGAAGAAACACATGCGCGACTCCTCAAAACCACGCCTTGCCAGATATCACATTCAGAAATACTTGCACAACCGCCTTCGCCGCCGCTGCCGACTCTACTTTACGCAGTCTTGCAAGCCAATGCCGCTATCTGCTGATATCGGTCCATGTCCACACGTCAGTCAGCCCGCTTGGCTTCATCCAGTCCACACACCCGCCACCACCAGCCATCACCGCCCGATACCATCCACCCATCGTCGCTTACAGCCCGATACAGACACACGCACATACATTTCCATCCATCCATCCATCCCTTCCGGCCTCCCTCTCGCTCCAGTCACCACAGACAGGGGGAGACAGGAGACGAGAGCCTAGCCCCTATCGTGCCCGCGCCCCGGCTTACGCCTGTGGCCGCTATCACGGAGATACGATGCGCTACGCTGAACTCACAGGGGCCCGCTTAGACGTCCTTCAACACTATCTGCAATAGGGGGCCATACGGTACACCTCAGATCAAAGTACCTACTGCATACCGAGTACACTAGGTGCTCTGCAGAGTACCTCACTGCCAGTCACATCCATCCCATCCGCGACGCCTTGCATTGTGTCTCCCCGCCGGCTCCAACACCTTTCGACGCGCCTACGGGGTCCGAGAGCCACTTCAATCAATCACCGTTTAACCTGCCTCCTCATCTTCACACCCACTCGCAAGAACCACAGACACTTGCCCAGGAACACATCGACAAATCCACGTGTCACCTGCATCAATTGAGTTTGGTCCGCTTCCCACTGCGGCTATCCAGCGCCTACCAAAGTACACGCCAAGTAGCCCTGCTTCGGCTCAGATGCACGATGCACGATGCATTCAACTCCGGCTGACCCGCCTCAACTCCGAGCATCAACTCCGTCGACAATCCTTCCGTCCTTCGCCGTATCCCGCCTGCCTACAGATCTCGCAGTCTGGCCTAATATGCCCTCGGGTATCGGAAGCAAGCCGATGACACCGACATTGCCGGACGCGCCTGGCAGACGCATTCGCAGCCAGACAGGTCTCGCTCACTTTCAAACATGATGTGGCCATCGCTGCTGTGTCTTGTAAGTCATTTCGGCGTACTGATGGTTACAGCTTAGCACCAGTCCGCAATGCGTTTTAGCCCACTGTCGATCTCGTCTTGGCCAACACTCCAACACGCTCAAAAGACCCTGACTGCGACGCTGTGACGCCGCAACGCATCAGTCCCAGTTCTGCTCTCCTCCGACAGGGGAAAACACGCACTTTTGGTGCCAGCCAGGCAGCGCAGGGCAGGGTAGGGTGGCAGGTAAGCCATGAGGGTAACGGGGACGGTCGTCAATGTTAGTGCCATACTTACTGCTCGCGGCGGGCTTGTCAAGACAGGTGAGGCAAGCCAAATGGCGCTTCACCTCTTCGAAAACGGCCATTGAATGACGATTATCGATCACTGAGCCTGCACCTGTCGATCGGCATCTGACGAGACCAGCCACCAACCGGCAATTCTCGTGTCCATCAAGCATCTCGGCCTCTTCACTTGGCCGGAAATGGCACACACTCTCATAATTACACGCACACATGGCCTCGTCTCAGATCGTATGCCTCTTTGTGGCCCTCGGTCCTCTCACCCCATCGATACGACCAACTCGCCCTCCTCAGACCACTTTCAATACCACTCTGTCAATCTCGACACGCCAGTGGCTGCTTCCCCTCATCTTCTCACCTTCCCCTCTCTCGCGCCTTTCCCTTCTGCCTCGTCCGCGGCATGCTTCGCACGTGGCAAACGCACACATTCCCGGCCGTCAGGCACTACCTAGCCTCGTGGACTGCATGGGTTTTCTGATCTCAACGGACGGCACATTCCCATCGGTGGATGGCCAATTGAAGGCTACTTCCTGCCTGCCGTGGAACATGCTTCGCTGCCTGTGCCACCTTTAAACATAGCATCATCTCGGATTGCCTTTTGAACGAATCACTCAGACTCGCAATTGCCCATTTCATGATTCACGTCCTGGACTATGACAGGGTTCTTGAAGCTCACCAGGCGGAACTCATCTCATTCTTGGTCCCCCTCACGTCGCTCAAGAAGCTTTGGGCACTCCTTCTTCTCGCCTGCTCGCCCTGGTCTGTCGAAACTTTCCAGCTCTTGAGTTTCATTAGCATGTCGACCCCCAAAACCCCCTCGTTTCCGGACCTGGCCACGCCATGGCTCTCATTTGACTTCATCCGTTTGTCGTCGTGTCAATATGTCCAACGCAACCGGCGCTCTTTTCTCGGAACGGCTCAGAATTGCTAGCCAGCCCCGAGTCATGGAAATCGTTCGGCTCGGACTTGATTACGACGGGAAACGGATACTGCCCACTCACACGCGGTCCGAGTCACTGTGCCCACCTCTTCCACGTGGTTTCCCGCAGATGGGAAACAGATTCCTGGGAGCCCCCATACGACGCCAACGTTCGGGTCGGGTGGAAACCTCCAAAAGGCTGGTGGCTGCCGACATATTTGGCATTTCACGCCGATATACAGATGGCTATCCTGGATGACCGTAAACTTAGCTGTGTGTCTGGTTCCGCGACAGCCGCTAAGCGCCAACTTTCTCGTGTTTATCGGCTTGGAGGCGTGTCTCTCGGGTCGCGTGTCGTCAAGATCGATGGACAGTCTCCGCAAGCCCTGGGGCCGGGCTGTTTGCTTGCAACGCTGCGTCGCTCTTTGGTGGGGGCGATCTGCCAGTCCAAAACAAATGCTACCCGCAGGCGCCGTCTGAGTTTTCCCTCAATCAACCTCCTGGCAAACATGTGTCAGCCGTACCAGGGAAAGTAATGACCGCCAGACGATCGCCCCCGAACACGATATCAACGAGACAATTTGCGCACGTCAGGCCTAAAACTGAACTCCGGCCAAAGTCAGAAAGGCGCCGACTGCTGGGCTGCAAGACTGATTCAGCATCCATGCCCGCAACGAGCCCGACTCAACCGGCCTGTCTCAGGGCACAATTTCTTCTTAGCTCGCCGTCAGTTCCGCTTGGGCCGCCGGCTTGTCAGCTGCGGCCCTGACAAGCGTCTGCCGACTGCCGTCTGCGTGCTGCAGCTTGTCAACGGATGCACTGGCCACCCTGCAGCGCCGGGGCGGCGGAGACTGACGAACCCTCAACGGAGCCAGCTCCAACTGCAGCGTAGCCAAGATTTCTTTTTTTCCATGGAGGGGGCGGTAGGACCACAGTAAAAGACAGGCCAGTGCCTCAAGTAAGTTTGTCGTCTCCTCTGGGGTGCGTTGCCCGTGGGAAGGCAGACAAACGGTCAAAGTCCCGGGCTTTGTCGTCGTCTCATGAAACGAATTGTTCACGGGCGGCTGCATTGATGATCGCCACCTGGCGAAGGGACGGGACGAGGGTTGACATCATCAAGTTGTCCAAAATTCAACCTGGCCTGGAAAGGAGTGCCCTGGGGCCGCCCGCCAGCGATACCATCATCTTCTGAAAGAGCCACTGCGAAAGTCAACCGCGGCTCGAAGGCTGTTGATAATTCGCTTCCAGAATGATTTTGCATCACGGTCTCGCAGGGTTTTTGGAACGGTCCGATGAAGTGGCCCATTACTCATCGGGTGCTATTGTAAGGAGGGAGCTCGACGCTTTGGATGCCGGGACGATGGGTGCCGCGGGAAGGCAAGCAGCTCAGCTCCCATCATCCACGAACCCAAAGTTGTCTCGTCTTCCGTTGTACTTCCCAGCCAAGGTGCTTCCTGCAGACGTCAATGCTGGCTTCCCGCGTCAGTCATTGTGGATGATCCTTCATACGAGCATGGCATAAATAAGCTGGCGAGGAGCATTCTTGATTGCCATACTAGAGGTAGGCCCCGGACGTAGGAGAAGCAACAACTTGCGTCTCTCAACGCCCGCCTTAAACTCTGTGGGAGAAGGCATAATCACAGATTTTCCATCGACCTCATTGCGACGACGCCCTCAAGTGAACAATATCGGTATCCATGTCGTAAGGCCGGCCGTCCGCAGGGTCTGCTAGTCACCTCCATGAAGCAAGCCATCTAGAACTCAAGTGTGAATCATGTTGCTACTCATTCTGTATGGAGAAAGCATTCTTGTACCAGCACCAGCTAGCACTCCATCTTGCGCAAGCCGGCTGTACGTGTTGCGACATCTCTCAAATTCGTGATTTACACTCGATACAACAGCTGTGGCTTCACAGCCCCGTCCAGCCTTAACCCAAAGCTTGCAGGTTGATTCCTCTTCCTTCACATCACTAGTATCTTCGATGGCACAACCACATGTGAATCCCTCCTGTGCCAAACTAGCACAATATAGGCCACCTTCATGTGCTCACCTGGCGATCTGGAACAACGACTGGGAGACGAACCCGCGGCCGTTCACTCCAGCGTTTACACCCCTCCTCCAACATCCGAATGCCCTCCTTAAACCGCGCGGGCGCACAGTGAGTCGTGTACGCAGCCCTCTTCAGGCCTTCCTGGCCTTTCTCTCGCTGATTCGGAAGGCGGACCTCGTCCCCAGGCTGGTCCGCTTCCCACCGCTCAACAACCTCCAGAATCTCCTCCCACCTTAGCTCAAAGTGCGCCGCGACGACCTCGCGCCACGGGCTGGCCTCGAGCTCGGCGCTGTTGAGCTTCCTCAGCCACTCGGCCAGCGCGTACCGCGTCGTGTCGGCGCGGACTTCGACATTGTACACCCGCGAATGCAGCGGCGTCAGGGTGCTTTCCAAGCCTGGCTCGTTCCACAGCGGCGACTCGGTGAAGACCATCGCCTGCAGGGAGACGAGAAGTTGTAGGAGAGTCGAGTTCTCGGGATCCCAGCTGGGTCCTTCCCAACTGCCGAGAAGGGATAAGCAGACTGCGTCGAAAGTGGTTAGCGAAGACCTTCTAAAGTATGTGGGAAAACCTCACCGAGACCGTTGTTGTAAAGATTAGGGTTGAACTTCCGGTCTGGCGGAGAAGTCCTGAAGAAAACTTGTGGCGGGCTCTTGGGATAGTCCATGGGGCAAAAGAGATCGAACTCGAAGAGCCCATTTTCGTATGGTGTCCCGGCAGGTCCGACAATCAAGAAAGTCATGGCATCGAGTCGGTCGCTATGGTGCCGGACGATGATGCCCTCGGGGATAGACGTTCGGAGGATTGAGAGTTCCCACACGAGGCGCTTCATGCGACCCGGTGGAGGGGTTTGCTTCTCGGTCCGCCTCAGGTCGTTGGCAAAGTGGTATTCTCGGTGCCATGCCTTTTCATCAATCTCAATGACACGGGTGTCAGAAAGCCTTCGTCTGAGCTCTTCTACACGCTGTTCTCCAGCACTGCGACTTCCGCTGATGGGCGGATCATCTTTTCCACTGGTGGTGGCACCGTCACCGGAGAGATGGGCCTTCTGGTGAGCTTCATATTGCTCGGCGAATTTGCAGATACGATCATACACACCGCGTACCTGCTTTGCGTGCTCGTCGCTATCCTTGTGGTGCTTTAAGGCAAAGCGAACCGGGACGGCTAGACCAGGGAACAGGCTGACGAGTGGCGGCAGCATATTGAGTTTCTGCGGCTGGCTGTGCTTTTCCTCGTACTTTGCTTTGAGAATCCTTGGACAGGAATGCAGCGAAAAATCAGTGTTTCTGAATGCAATGCGCAGAAGCGTCTGTTCCAAAGGGTGTTCTGGCCGGGGTCTGGTGAAAAGCGCACGTGAGACGTGACGTTGATTCCAGACTGAAAGCAAGTTGAACAATGAATCGTATAGCTTGGGTCGACGCATAATCTCTTCGATGCAGTCGTCTTGCATGAGCTCGGCGATTTTGATGATAAGAGGGCTTCGTCGCGTCATGGCGGCGAGAAGACGCGGAGGTTTCTTGTCAAAGGCGCTCCTATTTCTAGACGTCGAAGGCCAGGCCTTTGCTAGCGCGGTGAGTACCTCGGGGAGGACATCAAGGCTTCGAGAAATGTCCTTGAGCGAGTTCTGATGGGATCCCTTGAATGGAGAATCACTATCAGAACCACCATAACCGGTTCCAGCACCGGGTGCGGTGTTGACTCTCGTCTTCGGACCAGCGCGAGATGACCTGGTCTTCACCTGGGTATCTTGATAGATGGACGCGGATTTGTCTCTGGGATGCTGATACGGACCGCAGAGCAGTGCGAAGATAAAGAAAAGACGGCCTCCGTTGCAGCACCATACGTGGGTTTCCGACCCAGGTGCAAGACATATCGAAGCGGAAGATTGGGTAGCGCAGCAAGGACACGATTCGGTTTTACAGTCAGGGTAGGGGCAGGCGATCTTGGGACTCCAACGAGGATCGACAACGATTGGAAGAAGGGATACCGCAGGATCTTGACAATCGTTAGAAAACTGACAGTAAGCACTAGATGTGACTCAAGTGCGCCAAGAAGCATCATTCACCTTTGGACGCGGCAGCCATGATGGTTTGGTGCATCATACGTTGGGTATACGCGAAGAGGACTCTGCTGTCATCCGTCATAGTTTCCCGTCGGCAGGTGGGACATCTGTGTTGGATAATACGGTGTACAAAGTATCTTATCGCCTTCTCTTCCTTGGTCGGATCTGACGACGAAGAACCGAAGGATTCAACTACCGGGTCGCAAGAGGGTATCGAAGGCATATCGAGGCCTCTATTCTGAGTGTTAGCATGCGGTCGGTCGCTTGAAAGTTGTATCGTGGGATCAGCTGTGTACGTACGATACATCAGCCTGCTCGCAGCTCAACTCGAAAGGAAATGGGTCCAAGATTGAGGGCGGGTCAAAATCAGACCACGGGGCCTTAGTATCGGTCCACCGCATGTCGGAACCCTCAAAGGAACCCTCAAAGGAATACCGCTGAGGAAGTTTCATAGCCCAACCCGTAAGAGAGTACACTGTAGGTAAATAGAGTAAGAGCACTTCGGCCAGTTCTTCGTCCAGCAATGTCCCTAGGGCAACGATGAGAGTCAGAATCCGTCGATAGTGGTTGCGAGACGTAATCTCAAGATGCCTGATTCGGTGTTAATGTGACAAGTGGGTTGTCGTTCGGAGTTGAAGAACGACCATTAGATAGAGTTGCCATTGGATGGTTGAAAAGGAAGTAAGGTTAGCCAAACGGGTTTGTATTCAACTCATGTGTAAACGCCAGCCCCCGCCGTTGATACTCTGAGGCCATACGCTATTGGCCAATAGGGGAGTACAGAGGCTTGGTTGGCTGACAGAAAGGTAGTGCCTCAAAGTATGCCACAAGCAGGAAACGTTAGCAGAGTCGGGCTCCAATGAGAATCAAGCAATATTTTCTGTGCTGTATATACAATCCTTCGCCAAAATGGTGTTAAGTATGTACAAGAAATGACAAATAAGGTCCCCTTTGAAAGATGACAGGGTGCATCGGAACCAGACCAAGCCTCTTAAAAGGCAGGGTTGGCGTTGGTAAGAAGCTGCACGAAGTAGGCTTGGAACCACGTGCCGGCCTCGGGAGCGGGCTTGAGGGCATCGTTCTTTCCACAGTTGAAGTCATAGCGAGCCGCACTGGTGTCAGAGGTACCATCACTCTCGCCACCGGGCTTCACCCAGACGAAGGCGTCAACAAGCGAAGAGCCCGTGTTGGTCGATGGGCGCAGCCCGAAGCCGGTGCCGACAGCATTGCACCAATCACCCCACGCCTCTTGGCCAGTGGGTTGCTTGCCAGAGCGGCCCTGGTCAACAATGAACTGGGCGTTCCACCCTTGGGCGCTAAGAAGAGGGGCAAGTGCCTCAACGTAATGCTTCTCGTCGTAGTTGGAGTTGCCTAGCAAAGTTAGATTTGACAACGTTGAGTTAGGACGTGGTGCCTACCTTGAGTGTAAGAGGGAGGAGAGCTGAGACTCCAGGCATTGTCTGCGAAACGAGTCAGAAAGAGTTCAAATCAGATGACAGGCAAATACGGACAGTTGGCGACGTTGGTAACGATGCCACGGAGAGCCTTGGGGGACCCGGCATCCTTGTAAACCTTTGCATACATGTTGGCGGCAGGGCCAAGGTTGGCTTGCCAGCCAAGCCAGCCGGCATGCCCACCATCGAGATACATGGCTACGTTTGGAAGGTTGAGCTGAGTAACGGCGTAGTCGGTGCACTCAAGGTACGCAGCCTGGGCACCAGAGCACTTGGCAACATTCAAGTTGGTGACAAGGTTGGCCAGGGAGTCGGGCTCTGGTTTGTATGTCAGACACAGCACGACACAGCAGCAAGATAATAGAATGACGAACCAATTACCAAAAGAATGCGAATGTCGGAGTACTTGAGAATCATGGTGCGAATGGCATCAATGTACTCCTTGTACTTGGCAACGCCGCCGTTAGCAATCGAGTACTCGCCATTGGAGGCGGCGGCAGCACAGTCACGGTCTGGGAGATCGTACACGACGAACTGGCCCGCATAGTTGGCGCCGGCCTGGTTGGCCTTGCGGATGTCGGCGAGAGTGGAATCAACCAAGGGCACCTTGGCGCGAGTGTCCATCCACATGAAGGTAGGGACCTTGGCAACCTTTGCGGCCGCGGTAGCCTGGGCCGGGGTAAGAGACGGGATAGCCAAGGTCGAGATCTCGGAGGCGTAGTACGAGTTGGCGTAGAGGTCGACGCCGGCGAAGGGGTTACCGGTGTAAGTGGCGCCGCCGGTAGGGACGGGGGTGGTGCCAGAGCTAGTAACGCGGGTGGTCGTCGCGCCGGCGGTGGTTGATGAGGCTCGAGATGTGCTCGCGACAGTGGTGGAGCTTGCGCGGGTAGTCGAAGTGGCAGACGGAGCGGCAGCACCAGGAATGCACTGGCTGTACCACTCGTTGGTGACGACACAGCTGCTGCCAGAAGCACAGCACGTCGCGCCCGTCCAACCGTTGCCACCGCACTGAGTCCTACAGGGTGTTAGTCTGCGCGCATGGCAATCTTTCAGACAGTCTTACCAGGCGGCTCCGCAAGATTGCCTCTCCTCGATGGGAACGGCAAAGGCAACGCTGCCCAAAAGGGCAGCGGCAAGGAGCGATCGAGCAGCCATTGGTGATGAAGTTCAAGAAGATGTTGTTGGCTGATCTGATGATGCTGTCCGTGGCTGATGGATGAAAATCTTGAAGGGAACCGGGCGACTGCCCTTTTATCATGTCTTGAGCCATGGCAGTCTGCCAGCTCCTAATGGGTTCACTACTTAGGCTTTCGGATCGACGGGATAGGTGAAGTCTGGGCCCGCGAGGTAGGGAGGCCCTTTACCCCACGAACTCGGAGGGAGGTCTCGGCATTTTGATTCCAGTTTGCCCCTTTCAGACAAGCGCTGAGGGCGCGGGCGAAGCCGAAGGGACCATCGTGCTATCGTGTCCATGGGGTTGTGGAAGAGACGTCCGAGCTGGAATCGGTTCCATGGATTGAACCAGGACGATGGCACGTCAAGACGGGGGGCGAAAGCTGGGCATTGAGGTAAAGCTCGTCGAAGGCGCATCTTGATATGGCTGATGGTGATATTCGATGGCGTTTTTGGGGAAAGTCCGCCAACCAAGGCGTGGCCAGACTTCGGGTTGGATGTAACGCAGTCTTAGTTATTTCGGAGGCGACGCTCCATGATAGCCGTGTACGGAAGAGCGTTCTGGTCATGGGGGCGCGGCGGATGTGGAGACGGTTGAGGAGGGTGCCATGAGGGGTCGGAAAGGCTTCAAATCTTTCCGGCCGGGTGGGATTTGGACTGATTCTTGAGCTGGAATACCGGCTGAACCATCCGAGATGAGCTGGTTGGAGAGGCTTGCCGGGCGCGATTAATCAATTACCGGAAGCTTGCGTGATGAAGGCGTCGCGAGTCCATCCTCGGAAGAGATGGCGGTCAGGCGTAGCAGCAGCAGTGGTAACAACCGAGCTGGGTGATCGGAAGGCGTAGCGAAAGAGGCTTGGCTCCAGGTACCATCAGCGACGATATGTGTCTCTTGTCCTCCTGCTTGATGGAACCGAGCCGCACGCAAGGGACGACAGGGGATGGCAAGCGAGTTGGGGAAATTGGGGTTCTTGGTGGTCGGGCAGCGGCTGTGTGTGGTGCAGTAGTACTCGGCTCTGTCTTGAGTTGATGAAATCATTAGGAAATGCAATCAATAGTGATTGCTTTGGCCTGACAAGCTTTGATCAGCATCTTGCACTCCCAGGTTTGTGGAAACGATGGATATTGATGTTGCGACCAAACGACTTCATGTCGTCTCGAGAGTGTCACGATCACGACTGACGAGGAACGCCGACGCGAACTCTGATGGAACAAGTGCAGGTTGAATATCGAACCGAGACAGACTGTGTAGCGAGACGAAAGCAGTTCAAGGTACAGAGTACAGGAGTGGTCTTTAGCCGGCGGACGAGGCCATCTTGGCTGTGCTGACCAGGTGCGGCAGTCGATGATGACACTGTATTGTTTTGGTTATCTCAGAGGCAATGAGACTGAACGTGGGAGAAATGTGCGTGGTATTCTGTACTGTAGCTCTAGAAGATAATAGTATCGTATCGGATTGCTATTGGGATTGTCATGTCCAACGATGTTGGTGGTCGAGGAGAGCAGACAACGGAATGGCGAAGGGAAGGAGGACAGAGGAGTGCCAATTCTGCCAGCGCACTGTCTTGAACACTGTGATTACATAATGCGAATGCCCCACCATCGACCGTTGCGTGCACGTGCCATTCTTCATTTGGCAGGTGGATCACGTAATGCAGGCTCCGTCCCCTGCACGGGGCACCCTAGCTTCACCGCCCGGACCCTCCAATGGACGGCAGAATTTCGCAGCCAGCGCCCAAGCCCGAAACTCTCGAAATGAAGCTCCCCGTTCCCGCTCCCGTCTCCGTCCCCTGACAGCCGCCCGAGATCCCGTCGCGACCCAATTCCCACCCCGCCCTGCGCCCTGCGACGTCTGCCCGCGACAAGCACCTCGAAGCTTCTTCTACGCGTCGATAAGCTTCCTCCCGGCTCGACAAGACCCATCCTCTCCCCGACACCGAGTCCCGAATCGCTGGCCGCCGTCCGTGGGCGCCGATAACACCCCCCAACATGCTGTCCGGCATCCTCATTTTCAACCAAAAGGGCGAGAACCTCATCTTCCGCGCCTTCCGCAACGATTGCAGACCCCGCCTGGCCGACGTCTTCCGGATTCAAGTGATCTCGAACGCCCAGGTCCGGTCTCCTATCCTCACCCTCGGGAGCACCACCTTCAGCCATGTCAAGCACGAGAACATCTACCTGGTCGCCATCACCAAGAGCAATGCCAATGCCGCTCTCGTCTTCGAGTTTCTGTACCGTCTGATTGGCCTCGGGAGGGGCTACTTTGGCAAGTTTGATGAGGAGGCTGTTAAGAACAACTTCGTGCTTGTCTATGAGCTGCTCGATGGTACACGCTCCCCCCATGTCCTGCTTACAAACCCTCTGTCTAACGATCCGTGCCAGAGATCATTGACTTTGGCTACCCCCAAAATACCGAGACCGATACCCTCAAAATGTACATCACCACCGAAGGTGTCAAGTCAGAACGCGCCGCCGAAGACTCGGCCAAGATTACGATGCAGGCCACTGGCGCCTTGTCATGGCGCAAGGCCGATGTGAAGTACAGGAAGAACGAGGCCTTCGTCGACGTGATCGAAGACGTGAACCTGCTCATGTCCGCCACCGGCGCCGTACTCCGCGCCGACGTCACCGGCCAGATCATCATGCGCGCCTACCTCTCCGGCACCCCCGAGTGCAAGTTCGGCCTCAACGACCGTCTCCTCCTCGACAACGACGGCCTCCTGAGTCTACCGAGCGGAAACAGAATGGGCACAAAGGCGACCAAGGCAGCTGCCGGCAGCGTCACTCTGGAGGACTGCCAGTTCCACCAGTGCGTGAAGCTCGGCAAGTTCGACAGCGACCGCATCATCTCTTTCGTGCCCCCGGACGGCGAGTTCGAGCTCATGCGCTACCGTGCCACCGAGAACGTAAACCTGCCCTTCAAGGTCCACGCCATTGTGAACGAGGTCGGGCGCACCAAGGTCGAGTACAGCATCGGCATCAAAGCCAACTTTGGCTCGAAGCTGTTCGCCACCAACGTTGTTGTCCGCATCCCGACACCGCTCAACACTGCTAAGATCACGGAGCGCTGCACCCAGGGCAAGGCCAAGTACGAGCCAAGCGAGAACAACATCGTATGGAAGATTGGCCGTTTCACCGGCCAGAGCGAGTTCGTGCTGAGCGCCGAGGCCATATTGTCGAGCACGACGAATCAGCGCGCCTGGTCGCGGCCGCCTCTGAGCCTCAACTTTAGCTTGTTGATGTTTACAAGTTCCGGCCTGTTGGTTAGATATCTAAAGGTATTTGAGAAGAGCAACTATTCTAGTGTCAAGTGGGTGCGGTACATGACGAGGGCGGGTTCCTATGAGATACGGTAAGTCTTTGCAGCCAACTCCATTCCGTGCCCGGGCGGAGCTAACACGCCGACAGATTCTAGTGGGGTAATTATTGTAGTTTCAGCTTGTGGTATATGCATAGTACGGCGTCAAAGGGTATTCCCAGTCGAAAAGCTGGAGGGCAGCACGTTTTGTCGTTGTTTACGGTGGCCACGTTGTTATCCGTCTCCATTCGAGGCAATAGTAATACAAGGTGTTCCAGCCAACCCCAGATCATCGTCCTCTTACCCATCGCTCGCACTTCGTCAACACACGTCAGCGCCAAACATACGGGCTCGGGTAAGCTTACACCCTCTCAGAGACCGAGTCTGCATCCAACCCATCCTGGTTGATCTCAACACGACCATCGCAGGCTCATCTCCCAAACCATGTCCATCTTCTTTTCCGGAGCGCCCTCCGGATTACAGTCCATCAACGTTGTCGTATCCAGCCCATCCACGGCTTCGTCCTCAACCACCAAAACCCTCACCCCCTGAAATCTCCTCGCATCCGCGTCAGCCTGCTGGCTTCGAATGGTCTCGTCCATGGCTCTCGCAAACACAAAACTTGGGTGTTTATCGGACCACCCCATCCTCTCAAAATCAAAAACCTCGCGATACCTCTTGCCAACCCCCCTCACCACATCCGGTTCCCGACCTTGGGTCTCGTCGTAATGCAGCTGCCGGTACAGATCCCCTCTCTCCTGTAACTTGTCCGCAGCCATGTCCTTCCTCCCGCACCGTGAACACCGTCCAGGACAATGATCAACCAGATACAACACCCGCAGCCCCTGCTGCAAACAGCACCCCAGATACGCAACCTCCTCCAACAAGACCGCCCCAACAGTCTCCTTCGTCCACGTCTCAGCAACGTCCAGCGCAATCCTCCTCCCACCGTGCAACGTCGCCGCCATCTCCGCGCTCCACGGCCCCTCGAGCACTTCGCTCAGACTGTTCGCCCCAGAGGCATCATACTCCCCAAACAGCACACCCTGCGATAGCTCCGTCACCGCGCCCCCGTCTCTGAACCTCAGGAAAAGCACGTCCTCCTCATTGTCGTACACGATCTTCTCGTTCCGTCCAGGCAGACACACTGTATTGACATCCCTCTCCGGCTTCACAGTTGCTCCCGAAGCCTCGGCTGACGTCAGTTGCTGCGCTCGCCGTAACTTATACACGCTCGGGTCGTGGGCATGTCTCGCGACGCGCGTGGAGCGTGCAAGCTCCTCAGGCCCAGCCTCCAAGGCGTCGAGGAAGACGCACTGGCTGTATTTGCTCCAGCGCGCCTGATTCGCTTCCGACATGTGGCCGTCGGCGTCTTGGAAGGCGCGTTTGCTGCGTTCCGCGCCGCGCCAGGAGGGGAAGCAGACGTCGAAGACGTGCATGGAGGGTCCTGCTGATGCGTCCTCCCATATTTTGAGACGGAGTTCGGCGGGGAGATCGGAAAATCTGTGGAACGACCTCGGTGACGTCGTGAGGTGCCTGGTTGCTGCCATCGTGCCGCTTGGTTTGATCGAGTGAGGTTGGATTCGGGGCCAGAAGAGATGAAAATATCTAGACGGAGTGGTTGCGATTATATCTTTCCGGAGACGCATCGTAAATTGTGCCAGCAGCCACTCATAATACTCCGCAGCGAGGTCGAACAACGCATCCATCTGTCGCCGGTGCTCAAGCACGCATAAGTTTCATTTTAACTCATTCAAAAAGGCAGATCGTATACATGATTCTTCCCAAAAGATTATCCTTCCCTTATGAGGTTTTGCGCATAGCTCAGCACTAACATGAACCGACCCAGTCACGGAGACAATGAACCCTGTAACGTTCCGCGCAAGAAGCCACACGAGCGCGCCCGGCGTCTGACGGGCTGGTCGCCAATGCTTACACCGGGTGTGCGGCGCCATTTCCGTATTGGCCGTTGATAAGCCCCTTTCGCTCGTACCGTCGCTCTGGGTCGAGTTGACCAGGGCCTCACAGGGGTTGAGAGATGCCAGCGCAGCAATGTCAGAATTGTTTGGAAGGAGGCTGAGCTGAGAGAATTTGATCTCGCACATTGGAATCAGGCTTGGCTGTGGGCCAATTGCCTCGAAAGTCGCTGGCCTCATGGGTGGGAGGAGTAGGATATTCGGCTGGTGGCAGGTTCTAAGTGCTGACGGGCGCAAGGCATCAGCGTTAGGACGGATCCTTCGATGCCGCCAAATTCCGGCAATAGGAGAGGGAAAGGGCGAATTTTTCAATCTTGGCGCTTGGCCTTTTATTCCCCGCGTCCTTCAAAAGAGCCCCGAAAAGTGAACATGCAGATCACCGGCCCTCGGACCGGGACAGCGGGCGCAAGACTCGGAGGGGTGGGGCGCAAAGCCGGACCAGACGCGGAACCCTTCGCAGGACAGCATTCGTTGCGGTGCAGGTTTCAAATGTGCCATGTCGCGCTTTAAACTCATCATCTTATTGCACTTGTAATCATTACAATTTCCAATCGGTCGGTGCTTACACCCCGGAATCGTTCTGCAGCATAACCGCATCCTCACAAGCCGGCCAATGAGTCTGGTTCGTCGGGTTCCCATCCTTATCCTTCCTCGGCACCTCTCCCGGCCAGAGGTTTCTGCAATCGTACGCCCAACTGTTCCAGTTCTCACACACTCGATACGCCTCATCTAGATCAGCCGAGTTGCCAGGCGGCCAGAACTCGT